AACTACTTGTCTGCAAATTGCCTCTGCAGCAGTCAGACAGTCAGTGTGGTGTTTCCTAGCTGGGATACAGCGATTCTTCTATATCCTTTCTTCCCGCTTTCCCTTCTAGGTTCATGATCTGTGTACGACTCGCTCTCTCCAGACCTAGGCATGAATTTACTGCCTTCTGAACAGTTTTTCTTTCTTTTTTTCTTCTGCGGTCATTGTCTTATCACTATTCAAGACCATGAAATCAGATGCACTGTTTGCTCCCCACCAAAAGGTTACTCCTACCTTTTCAACTGGATTACTTTAAAGCACAAGACTCTCCAGTGGAAATAGTAGTAGTGTTTTAGCCATAATAGTTTAAGAATATACAAAAGACAAGTTTTACACAGAGAGATAATAAGAAGCAGGAGAAAAGAAATAGTGGAGAGTAAATTTTGAAAGGCTTAATTGTTCATTCTGGAGTTTTTAAAATCTTCAGTTATCAGATGCCTTTATATTGTTGTTCTTTATTTTGGAAATCTTGTGATGCTTGACTTACTCCCAAAATGCCTAATTTTTATTCACTTGGAACAAAAATACTGTATATGAACTAAAATTCAAATGGGATTTGGAAACTCCATCCACAATTGTATGTAGCTGTGCTGTAAGGTATTTTATTTAGAAAACAAACAAACAAAAAACCCCACTGCAGATATGTTTGGGTTCATTTCTTTTTTAACATAAAAGAATTCATGTGTGGAAAACAGAAAGTCAGACTGATTTCTCCTTGTGTTTTCTGTGGTCAGCTGGACCTCACTGCTGCAGTGGTTTTCTGGTGGGGTTCTGCAATAGCTGGTATCGGGGCGAGGAGTGAGACCCCTGCTCCTGCAGCCAGGCCGTGGTCCCTAAGGAACACCTCTTAGATAAATACCAGAAACGTCCGCTCACCCAGAATCAATGCGGGTTTTGACAGACTGAGCAAATCTTGTTATACGTGTTATCTTGTTACATTTGTCTAGGTTTTGCTTTGTATGTTTATCTTCAAATTGACAGGCCCCTGAAATATGCTTTTCATATGCTGAAAATTAACGGTAGTTTAGTGTAAGCTATTTTCACCACAGGTACTAAATAATGTCTAGAGACGACATGTTTTTCACGTTTTCCTAATCTTTTAATGTTTGTAAATAGCACTGGGTATTCCATATTGAATACTTTTGTTTGGGAAGACATATATACACCCCTAGATAGCAGAACAGAGCAGCCCTGGTGAGGTCTGCAGGGCTGGTTTAACTGTTTGATTTGACTACTCAGTAAGCTTTAGCAGATGCCTTCCATGTCAGTGATGAAATCTGAAATGTTATTGTAACTGAGACACTTAGTTTGTCTCTGCAAAGGAGGTCTCTGTCTTCTCCTGAGAGGCTGATATCCCTATTTCCCATTTTTGTTCTGTAAAGCCATCTTTATCCAGTAACCAAGTGTTACTGTCTCTGTGAAATGGGTAAGAAAATTATCTAAAATAATTTTGATTCACAAAAGAAATTCGTCGGCTGAAAATCAATCCCAGCACTCAAGAGTGTTAGATGATTGATATCATCACGAAGTCTTCTGGTCTCTCAATAAACTACATGATAAGCAAGCTTATATACATATGTACCTATATGTGTAGATACAAAATCTATAGTAAGATTATTTAATGTTACAGAAACGTGAGTTATTTTTTGGTTGCTTACTCTAGGGTGTGTGACACCCATTGGCTAATATGAGCTAAACCATTTCTGACTGTGTTACTCTCTGAACAGCTTACAGTCATCCTGTTTAGCATGGAGGGAAGTGGGATATGGAGAGACTTACAAATATGGATATTTTAAAAATATTTTTTCTTAGAGGAAATATGTTTCTGTAGAAAGTGAGAGATAAGTCAGAAAAATGAAGCATAATATCATTCTCAAGTAGCTTTTTAGCCAGAGAGAGGAATTACGCTCTTACTGAGAGCCTGCAGTTTCATACTGCAGTTGTGTAGAGGGTAGCAATGAAAAATTCTTAGGAGAAAAATTTCTTAGGAATAGCTCTTTCGGCTGGTTTTGAATGTGTCTCTTTTGCTGTCTATTAATAGTGAATCTCAGCAGATGAGGTTTGCAGGTCAAGATAAAAAAAACTTCCAAAATCTACATATAGACATAGCAGTAGAGCATGCCTGGAAATCCTATCTTCAATAAAACACAATTTTTTCAGCCGCAGTCTGAGGAATACCGTACAGCGAACAACAAGTTTTGTGTTTGATGAACTAAGTCTTCATCCTCCCCTCACACGGCTGGATTCACTGCCGTTTCAACAGGAGGAAAATACCCATTGATTTCAAGGGGCTTTGGGTCAATCTGACAGAGGATTGACAAAACCCAGAGATTTCTCATATGCCTACAGTATATATTCCTCTATTAACCTTACTAACAACCCTTCTACTTCAGTGCTGCAGAGAGCTGCTGCAGAAAACAATTCAGCCTGAACCTTAGCTTGTTTCCAAGGAAGGTAAAGGTGGCACAGGGCTGTCAGGATCCAGGTCTCTTTGCATTAGCTGTGCATAGAGACCAAAGACAAATGCTTCACAGGCCTTTGTTTAGATTTCCCCCAGCTTCAACCAAACCCATTCTCCCAGGCTGGAGAGCTGCCACTGAGAGGGGACACTGCCATGGAGCAAATATTATCGGGCAAAAAGAGCCCACTGGCAGGAAACTGCTGAGAGAGGAATGAGCGGCATGGCCGGGAGGAGGGGGAAATGGTAGAGCTGGAGCCATGAACTAAAGCAACAGTGAATTGGGTTTGGCTGGGCAGCTCCTAGAGCAAGAAAAAGGGCACATTTAGCTGTTGGAAGCCCCACAGATTCCTCACAGCAGGACACAAGGCAATCACAAATCTGGCTGGCACTCTGGTTATACAGTGGAGCAAGCCAGCTGGCTGGCTGGGGTGAGAAATTCAGGCATAAGGTGGGAAGGAGGGACAGCGGGAAACTAGGGAGCTAGTTCCCACTCTGGGAAACGATGCATTTGGCTCCTGAGTTTTGCTTCAGCTTACTCAAGTTCACTGCTGCCAAGTGGTACCCAAGTTCACACGCAAAGAGGAAATGGGGGTGGGGGGGAAGTGCTGAAAGCAAAACTGAATGGAAAATGGGGAAAAAAATTAATTGGAAAATGCTTTGAAATTATTGACTTGGGTTTGATTGCCACATGGGGGAGATCTAAGCCTAATCAGTCCTTTCAGAGCTGTGTCACATTGGGAAATCCTTCAGCAGACACAGGGTGAGGCTCAACACTGTCTTCGGGGCTGGTGGGACAGCTGGATGATTGCATCAAATCATACTGCCAGGTGACACGTGAAGACCTGGTGACATTCCTGGAAAAAAGCAATAAACAGCTGATGAGAAGCAGAACTCTTCCTACCCTGCAATCCCACTTTAAACTTTCCGCATTATGGTGCTTTCCCTCTGAAACGTGCATGCAAGCCGTGGGAAACAAAAACATACAGCTCCATGGGTGATATGCCCAAAGCTTTCAAAGATACTGTGGATTCTTTAAAAAAGCCAAGTGCTTCTTCAGGCAGGAAGTTGGACACAGGTTCTGTAGGTCTTTTAAGTGACAAGGGATTAACATGACTACAAAGTTAGCTTAAGTGAAATTTGCTTTCACCATAATGATTATTTCTTTAAATATAAAAAGCAGAATTGCTAATAAGCTTCTTCTTAGATAATATAGTCTGGTCTGTCCATTTTGTGCCGTGCTAAAATGATCCGAAGGAAACAAATGGGTATCCATCGAAGCACCGTAGTCAGTTAGGATTAAAAAACAGACTTGCAGACACCTTTAGGTAAAATAGTGAAGTACCTCACGAAGCAGCTAGTCTCTGGTTGCAGCTAGTTGTTGGTGTTTAAGAACAGAGCCCTGACACTTGCAGAATACAGGCGCTTCTTAAAGTCACACTGAATGCTGATGTGTATATCCCCAGTTCTAGATCCCCGCCGACAAGCTGGCTATACGCTTTATCCTTCGTGGCTTCCCACACACAGCATGCAAATAGAAATAACTTGCCGTGTAGGATCAGGAGACAAGTCACATGGACCTAAAGCCATTTTCATGTCCCCCACAGCAGAAACCCAGTGTCTAAAACCCATGTCCAATGGTCTGTACTTTCAAATCCCTGCTTTCACCTTTACCTGCAAGGACTAGCGTATTGCCAAAAATGTTGTTTGTGTTGTATTTTTAGTCCTGGCACACCGAGTCTGGATATGTCAGAAAATTCAGGCCGACCTCTGATCTAGTGGAGCTGTGTGCCAGAGTATGTGTGCTCCAGCTTTCAGTTAGCTGCCCTCCATATGTGCGTTCAAACCTCCTGAGGTCAACCCAGAGCACATTTCACAGCTGAAGTTCATCCTCTCCAAACTCACATTAAATCTTCTAGCATCTGCTTTCTGTTTACACACCCAAGAAGCTGCAGGAGGGCTCTTAAAGTGCCTTTATTAACATATTTTTAAGTATATATGTTTTAAATGTTTAGTTAAATTATTTAAATTCTTCTTTAATTGTCTTTTTATATTACCCATGGCTTGTTATACTTCACAGACGTGCGGTTTAGCTGTAATTAACTTCAGATCTGTCCGCTGCCTGTCAGATAACTGTAGGCTTCACACTGGAGCCAGAGAAACTTGGACTCAGAGAAGTAGCTGGCTTGTCTAAAAGCACAAAATCAGCTTTGGATCTGTGACCAGAACCCAGCTTTCCCAAGTCCCACCTGACCAATACTTAAGATGTCTGGGGCACGGGAAGGCACTGGTTAGCTGTTGGTTATGGAAGACAGGGAAGTTAACGGGGGCAAACCAACTTTCAGAGAGACATTCCCATAAAAAATGGACAGCCCAGTGAAAATGGGGTGTTCTGTGCTGTGTGTAACAAAAAAAGGATCTGTGCCTACCCCTGTCTGTGGGTCTTCATGATCTCAGGATAACCAGTGCTGTGTCTAATGACTCTACTCTTATTTCTGCTTAGTTTTCAGGACTTTACTTGTTGTCATTCTTCACTATCCTTGTTGGGCTGGTGCTCTACTCCTCCACGTCCACCTACGTAGCCCAGGATCCTCGGGTGTACAAGCAGTTTCGAAACCCTTCAGGACCTGTTGTAGACCTGCCAGCCACCGGGCAGCTGGAGCCTTCGGTAACATACACCAGCCTGGGGCAGGAGACAGAAGAGGAGCCTCACGTTAGAGTCGCTTAAACCCAGGGCTGTTGATCACCTACTGATGATTCAGTGGAGCTCGTATATCCATTATCTCTGTATTGTACATAGAGAAAGGTATTTACCAGGTGCAGTTACACCGGTGAGCTGCAAGGTAGCAAATAAGGAAAGCTCATAAAAGTACAAATTAATTGTTCCAGGGTGTTCATTGCAAGGAGATGCCAGTCCCTCGTTTACGATACGAGCAGCAGGTTTGCAATACAAACTGCTGTATATGAATCAGTTAATGTCAAACTACCTGTGAAAGATATTCAATATATAAGCTGAAATTACAAAAAGAAATTCATAGAAGGGTGCTTTTGCACCCACTGAGCGATGTTATGCCTAAACCACACCAGTTGTGGAAAAGCCGCCTTTTTACAGCAAATACACTTGTGCAGTCACTGTTAATTTCTCTCTAAGATTTGTTTGTTTGCACAAAATAGATGGGTTACTCGTGGTAGCAAAACCCTGACACATTTTTGCTAGCACCTTGGATTTGGTGAGGGAGAGACAACGCATTCATCTGTGCTATCTGTCTAGTTGCCCTTTCTGGGTAATCTGTTCCATGAATCCAGAGGAGGGACAACTTACAATATCCGTCTCTATTCTAGGAATAGGTATAAGGCGAGCATTTTAGCCTTTCTATATTTGCAGAAGTGAAGTACTCAAGCATTGACCTCTCTATGATCCATGGCAGATTTCCTAGCGGCTGAGGCTCTGCATCAGGTGACAGGGAGTTAGTTTCTCTGTAGTCGTGACGTAACACAGATTTCTTACTTTTTAAATTTTAATCTGTAAAGAGAAAAACGCATTTTCTAGTTTCCTATGTATTGTACCTCTCCATGGTAAGATGACATATCATGTGGATCAGGGCACTTATTTTAGATATTCAGTGCATCGAGGGCGCCTTCTGCTGTTCCAGTTTGCTTAGTCTCCTGTGGTTCATTATTCTAACAGCAGCTATTTAGAAATGTGTCGTTTTTTCACCAAAACCCACAAATTGTAAAAATCAGGAAGAGTAAGCAAGGAATTCATGAACAGAAAGACTGGACCATCTGCTGGTGTTGCTGCAGTAGCGCAAAGGCATCCATACCAGCAGGGTGCAGCCAATTATTTTTCATTAACTACAAAACTAGCAGAAGAATTCAGCAGTTTTCTTACATTCCTGGGGACGTGTGAAAATAGTAAGGGTGTGCTCCACAACTGTACTTCTGCTCCAGGAGCCTTATCAGAACAGGGGAAATCTTAGTTAACACCATGAAAAATCCATCTCTGCTTGTATGTTTGCTCTTCTGAGAGGCTAGTAAAAGGAAATCATTATTTCAACATCTGTCATCTATTTTTAATTTAAAATTAGGGAAGGGGAGATGGTCTTGCATCTAACAGATAGGAGAGGGATCCAGGAGACCTTGGTTCTATTCACAGATATCCTGCCATATCTCTGCGTGAGCTTGGGCATGGCTTACCTTCTGTGCGGCTGAGTTTCCCAATCTGTATATATGGGAATAACTATATTTTACCTACCTCACAGGGGTGCTATGGGACCAAGTTATTTTAAAATGCTTCAGAATCTTCAGAAGAAGGGAGGTTAAGAAGTACACAATAGTGCTGTAAAACTGTGTATACATTCATTGTATTTGAAAATGGAGTTTATGGCAGGGTTGATGAATATTATGCTTGTGGGCATAGAAGATGAATTTGATTTGAATGTTACTCTGCTGACGAAGTCTGTCTCAAGGAAAAATGTAGGGCTTCATATCTGAAAAATACAACTTACCTATTTCTATTTAAAAAAGAAAAAAAAAATCAATCTGTACTCTGGAGATTAGAAAGGCCACACAGTTCAACCAAGCAGGATGAATTTCTGCTGAGTTAACATTCATCTTTTATAGCTCTGTTCTGCTTTAATATAAAAGGGACTTCCCTGAAGCAGACTGGGAGAAGTATGTGTGCATAATACACATGAAGTGGCAAATGCCAAAACGCTGTTGAACAGCAGAAGTATGTTGTATCTTATTCTTGCTGTGGAGGAGGAGGAGGAGGAGGAGGAGAGGTGATTTCTGTCCCACCACATTTAGGCTGTCTGCCACGATCCTGCTGCAGCTCAAGAAAGTGTCCACAGTATTGCCAAACCATGCTCCAAAACAGCCCAAAAGCTTCAATTAAGATGGCTTGGTTTTAAAATCATAACAAATGTATGATTTTTTTCCCTGCCTTCTATTTATTTAACCTTTTTAGCACTCATGTTTCCAAGATTTTTCTCTTAAACCATTGAGGATTAAAAAAAAAAAAAATGATTCCTGGAGAGAAACAGAGTCCGTATTCTGGGGATATTAAGGAAAGTCGAAATACTACGGGATTCAATGAAAAAAAATTAAAAACCACACAAGAAAGATTATCTGATACTTAAAGGTAAGGTCTGTGGGGTGAAAGCCCAGTTGGGAAGCGCATGGTCAGGTGAAGCCCTCACACAGAGGGGCCAGCAAGCATCCTTGGGTCAAGCCCCGGGAGGGCTTCGACTTGAGGTGGGTTTCGTACATTCCCCAGGAGTAGGGGCTCTGGTTACAACCACCATGGCTCCCTCAGGTACCCAGAGGCACACTGGCGGGCACCTGTCATCTCAGTCTTTTTTGCTACCTTTTATACCAATTAAATACCTTTCTCAGAACATTAGTCCCCGTGTTGGTCTTGAGACCTTTGAGGATTGTGTGCGTGTGTGTGTGTTTCATGTTTACAATTCCTTCCTTTTGCATAATTGTTTTGGTTAATTTCATTATTAGTATTTATTTTTAAGCCAAATGCCTGTAGTCCTTCAGCCTCCCCCTCTTCATTTTTCTGACACTAACTTGTAGATGTTTGTTGGAGTCTTCTCAGAAACAGCTGGGCAGGAGGCATCACCCAGCCGGGTCACTGGGCTGGGATTTTTTACATACAAGGGTTTGCAATCCACGGGTGGCTGAGAAGTGCCACCTGAAGCAATTTTTATAGGCTATTGTAAAAGG